TAAAAAGAAATCACTGACTATTTCATTGCTTAGGACTCATAAATAATTTGATGTTTATGATACAAGTGTTTTATCTTTATGATATAAAACATTGCTATCACATATGTATTTAAATATTTATAGCAAGTCTGTGTAGGATATTTGAAACATGGTATTTTAAAGTCATGATGGAAGACATGGTCTGCCATGGTGTTCTAATCCTTAAACAAAAGTGGAAATTTTCTTCATACAAAACAAGTAATCTTTTTCCTTACACTTGGATTTACTTTCCTAATACCTGAGTGGAGCAGACCAGAGAAGGTGATTCCTCCTAAGTGCCAGCCATCTTTGCTTTGGGTTGTTATCACAGAATAGCAACCGACTGAATAATGCATAAAGAATGGAGATCGATTGGCTCACGGTTCTGGGTTCTGCAGTGTTTGACATCGAGGGGCTGGCACCTGGTGAGCCCCCCCCGCCCCCATTGGCAGGAAATGAGGGCTGAGAGAGCAGGAGGGGCCTGAGCTGTCCTTTGTGTTTATTTGTGTTTTTGTTTTTTTTATTGACAGGCAGAGTGGACAGTGAGAGAGAGAGAGAAAGGTCTTCCTTTACCGTTGGTTCACCCCCCAATGGCCGCTGTGACCGGCGCTGCACTGATCCGATGGCAGGAGCCAGGTGCTTTCTCCTGGTCTCCCATGGGGTGCAGGGCCCAAGCACTTGGGCCATCCTCCACTGTACTCCCAGGCCACAGCAGAGAGCTGGCCTGGAAGAGGGGCAACCGGGACAGAATCCGGCACCCCGATCGGGACTAGAACCCGGGGTACCAGCACTGTAGGTGGAGGATTAGCCTAGTGAGCCATGGCACAGGCCTGAGCTGACCCTTTGTAATGGCATGACTTTCTTATCAGTTCCACCTCCTGGTACTGGTAAAATGCAGTTAAATTTTCACATGAATTTCGGAGAGGACACCATTCCAACCACAACATTTTTTGTTTTATACATTGAGAAAATTGTTTTTGTTTTATACATTGAGAAAATTTTTCAAGTCAGCAGAAAGATACCAACTGCCTTGTTGTCTACTCCAGAATATAATAAAATAAAGCAAAATATGCTTATTTGAACATGTTTGTAAGCTGATCACTATTGAAATCATTCTGAAATGGCCTTCAAAATTCTAACAAGGAAACAGAATAATGTTAATGATAAGTTTCATGGTCGCTGGGGTTAGCATCTTAGTCCCGCAAAATACAGTTAAGTGATAGCAGACCTGTTAGGAGGTACAGCCTGGATGTGTAAAGCAAGGACTGCCTGCAGATAACTCGAGGAAGTCCTGGGGGTGTTGGTTTGGGGATATTACTGTGTCTCTGTTTTCCTAGTAGCAAATAGTGCATCATGTCATTGTTACTGAACTTCCTTAGACAAAACCCCTTTTGTAAACAGAACCATCAAAGCAGAAAAATGATATGTATTACAGAGTCTCATTTTCCAGAAATAGCACTGGAAAACTTGTCCATTTATCTGTGTATTTTAATGTGTTTTTCCTCATAATTAGCTGTTGCTTTTATAGGCAGAGGACAATAGCAGGGTTTTTTTTTTTCCTAGTTAATTTTAGTAACTGTTTTTCTCTCTTAATCACATGCAAAGATGGTAGCCCAACAATATAGAAGCTTAGAGTTCAGAAGTTCTCTTTACTTTAAATTATTACTTTTGATCATTGGGTGATTAGGTTTGTACATGACTTTACCACAACGAAAATCCTTTGGTTATGCAGTTTGTGTGTGACTTGTAGGAATACAGTGATGATCTCAGGCATATGACTGCAGAAGTAAGTAGATATTAAATACAAAAGCTCTGCAAATATGATCATTTTATAGAACAACATTTAGAATTTGCTTTTGTCCTTCATTGCGAATGCAACATGCTTCTAATGCAAGAAGATTGGAAAACAGAGAGATGTAAAACGGAAAGAGTTGGACAAAAATAGTTCCATCTTTGAATGTTTTGGTAAATGAGGGCAGGTGTTTGGTCTAGTGGTGGGAATGCCTGCATCTCATATCAGAGCCCTGGGGTTTGATACCTGCCTCTGGCACCTGCCCCCAGCTTATTGCTAATGCAGACCCTGGAAAGCAGCCATGTTGGCTCAGAGAGCTGAGTCCCTGCCACCCAGAAGTAGATCCACATTGAGTCCTGGCTTCTGGCTCCTGGATCCAGGATCAGCCCTGCCCCAGTCCTCATGGGCATTTGAAGAGTAACCAGTAGAGAGGATTGCTCTCTCTGTCATTCTCTCTAGAAGCTTCTAAACTAAATAAATTTTGTTAAATATTAAGGTATGCACCATTGTAGTATATGCAAATATACAAATGCAGGTACATGTATATTTTTTGGTGTCAAATTCTGTTATTTTTGAGTAGCTTTTTCCTCATCTTAAAATTCATCAAAAGTTTTATTCCAGCTCAATAGGTATTTTTCCTTTAAAAATATTTATTTTATTTATTTGAAAGGACGAGTTACAGAGAGAGAAATAGGAAGGAGGGAAAACAGAGAGACAGACAGACAGATCTTCCATCCACTGGCTCATTCTCCAAATGGTCACAGTGGCCAGGGCTGTGTCAAGCTGAAGCCAGAAGCAGAGTTTCTTCCAGGTCTCCTCCTTTAATGCAGGGTCCCAAGCTCTTGGACCATCTTCTGTTGCTGTCTCAGGTGCATTAACAGGGAGCTAGATCAGAAATGGAGCAGCCAGGTCTTGAGCAGGTGCCCAGATGGGATGCCTGTGTCACAGGCAGTGGATTAACCTGCTGGGCCACAACACTGGCTCTTTGTCTTTTAACTTTTGTAACGGTTATTTTGAAACCTACCATAGACACATAGCACATTTGTCTCATCAGTGTATTTTCTGGAATATTAAATTTTTGCTATGATGGAAACAAACCATTTTCTTTTTCTTTTCTTTCTTTCTTTCTTTCTTTCTTTCTTTCTTTCTTTCTTTCTTTCTTTCTTTCTTTCTTTCTTTCTTTCTTTGACAGGCAGAGTGGACAGTGAGAGAGAGAGAGAGAAAGGTCTTCCTTTGCTGTTGGTTCACCCTCCAATGGCCGCCGCGGCCAGCACAGTGCGGCTGGCGCACCGCGCTGATCCGATAGCAGGAGCCAGGTGCTTCTCCTGGTCTCCCATGGGGTGCAGGGCCCAAGCACTTGGGCCATCCTCCACTGCCTTCCCGGGCCACAGCAGAGAGCTGGACTGGAAGAGGGGCAACTGGGACAGAATCCAGTGCCCCGACTGGGACTAGAACCTGGGGTGCCGGCACTGCAGGCAGAGGATTAGCCTATTGAGCCACGGTGTCGGCACAAACCATTTTCTAAGTACCAAAACTAAAATGTTGATTAGAGAAAGTTAAGCATGTATTTTTAGTAATTACACAAAAATGTAAGTGTCCTTCGTAGCAATTCCTAAAAGCAATCATAACAAAACTACGTAAAACAATAAAACTCTAATGTTTAAACCCAAGCCAGTGTTCTCCAAAAGACAGCGGTGAACTCCAGCAGCTGACTTAATGCTGAGTCCAGGGGTGGAGGCCCCTGTGCTGTTCAACAGGGGAAAGTGCACAGCGTTGCCCCCTGCAACCAAGACCTGTCCGCTTCAGAACACTGCCAGGCTGAGTAGTCAAACTTGGTGCGGATGCAGAGAGCTCACGCCCTCGCTGTGGCCTGCAAGTTGTCATGTGCACTGTTCTTGAACAGTCACAACTGCTGGACATGCCCACCATTTAATCTGCTCCGATCCACACCGCTCGGGGTGGAGGGGCGTTGATGTCTAAAAGGCAGGGGGCCCTGGGGGCAACTTTCCCAGAATGGCGTCCTGAAGGGCCTTCCTTTGCCGAGACTGTGGGCATCATGCCACACCCAGCACCACGAAGTAAATTATCCCAGCCCAAACCTGAATTCATGGTCAATTCTGTATTTCTGTGGCGTTTGAACTTAATGTGTTAGTATTTACAGTCTCCAATATGTATCGGCATACTTGCTTGGAACACTGGTTCTAAATTTAACTGTTAAAGATTCTAAATTTTATGCTACTATAACTGCTGTTCCCCTAGCTTTCTGCCAGTCCCACGGGCCTCATTTTATTCTCAGTGCCCTGACTGGTCTCTCTGTCTGCATGGATTTGTACCCTGTGGTCACACAAACCGCATCATACTGTTCTCATTTTGTCCTTTAGAACAATTGATAACTTACTACTGTTTCCCTCCCAGTTCATCTCTCCCCACAAACATGATTTTCAAATGCAGATAAGATATATGTCTTCTCCTCAAAGTGCAGAAATATCCCACTCTTCATTCTCATGGACTCCCAACCAAAAATCTTCCACGAAATTGCTCACTCTCTGCCTGCCTCTACAGGGTCAGGTTCCGAGACTGGCGTTGGTGTCTGCCACTTAGCTCCTCATTCGGCCCCTCCATCTGACATCCACAGGCATTATTGTTCCTGAAATGTTTGGTTTGCTGCACGATTAATTCCTGTATTTCATTCCTTCGATGACTCACCCCAACTTGCCATCCTACCTGGTTATAGTTTTTTTTTTTTAATTATTTGCACTTACATAGTAAACTTTAACAATAAAAGTAATAACTCTGCCTGGGAACAGTTGACCATAAACTTTCTAGATAAAATGCTGTAAAATACTGAACTATCTACAAAGAATGTATTTGTATTCCAGATTTACTACAGTGGTTAATTTTGAACTGGCATTTATAGCTTGTTTTAACTTTTATCAAAAGTATGAATAAGCAATTAGGGAGAAGCATCTAGTAGAAGTGTGAAATACCAATACTTTTAGAATTTTGTACCTTATTCCTATACTTATTGAATCAGAAAGTAGTATACCTCAAATTCATTGAAACACCATATTAAAATATTAAAAATATTAATGAGTTATACTCACGTATTATCTCTGTGCCTTTTACTCAAGATATGTTAAGTGGTGCCCAGTACAGGCATTTATAAATTTGTCTTTAGGTAATAGGCTGGATGTGGTTTCAGATCACAATTCTCCCCCCGGAAGAGAAAGTGGAAGCCGAGTACAACAGCCTGTCTGAAGGGGACCTTCGGCCCCAGACCCCGGAAATAACAGCAGCCCAGAAAGTGAGGCCACCACGCAGGGGGAGCCTGGGAGCCCCACACTCTGGCTTAGGCCTTGGGGTGCCGCTCCTGGAGGCCAGGGTCACTGGGAAAGGTCAGCTCTTGCCTGTGCGGGAACCCACATCCTACTCACCCCAGGGCCTCGTTCAGCCAGGGTGCTCCTGCAGTGCCACTCGAGCTGAGTTTTCTGCTGGATGCAAAGTGAAGGCTTCGGAAAAATCTGCAGTCGTCCAGAACTTCAAATTATTTCTGCAACTGATTGAATATAGTACATGATGTTCCATTAAGAAAACAACCAGGTGTCCAAAAAGTTTTACTAAAAACAAAGGACAGGGATAGACTGTCTGTGTATGATTTGTCTGTGTGTGTGTATGTATCTATATCTATGTATCACCATCATCATCTGCAAAGGTACTTTAAAAAGTTTGTGGAAATGGAAATAAAACATAAGTTTCTTATGATGCAAAATGTTTGGACACTAGGTTTATTTTTATAATATATATCCTCTATTAGCTTTCTGAAGACTTCTCGTGTGTGTGTGTGTGAGAGAGAGAGAGAGAGAGAGAGAGTGATTCAGTTAGTACAACTACATGCAGATGTTAAAATAACAAATATAAACAAGCATAAAATTTTAACTACAGAATTAGAGTAGTTTGAAAATACAAAAAAACTAAGTGAAAATTCTAAGATTGAAAAATAGGATGACTAAAAAGAGTTCAACAGGTAACTCTAAAAGACAGATTGAGTTAATGAGAGAATCAGTGATCTTGAAGATTAATCACAAAAACAGTCCAGACTGAAGCAGAGAGACAGAAGGATGCAAAATACAGGAAAATAGCAGAGGAGGCATAATGATGCAGAAAAAATGAATCTGACCTAATTCCAGAAGGAAGAAGAAAGCGTAGCACAAAAGTACTATTTGAACCCACAAGGACTGAGAATCATTCAAACAGGAAAAATCGTGAAGCCATGGTTCCAGAATCAGCATGACCCCGACCTGGGAGAAACAAAACAAACCACCACTCGGATGCACATATTATATCAGATAGTAATAAGCTGGAGAACAACTTAAAGTTAGTGAGGTTCAGAAAAGGCTTCTGGAATGGAGCTGTGAAGAGACCCTTTGAAACCACCAACCATAACTGGTTAAAATAGATTATGCAGGGGCCAGCGCCGTGGCTCACTGGGTTAATCCTCTGCCTGCAGCGCCAGCATCCCATATGGGCGCCGGGTTCTGGTCTCGGCTGCTGCTCTTCCAGTCCAGCTCTCTGCTGTGGCCCGGGAAGGCAGTGGAGGATGGCCCAAGTGCTTGGGCCCCCACACGCGTGTGGGAGACCAGGAGGAAGCACCTGGTTCCTGGCTTCGGATTGCTGCAGCTCCAGCCATGGCGACCATTTAGGGAGTGAACCAACGGAAGGAAGCCCTCTCTCACTGTCTGTAACTCTACCTGTCAAATAAATAAATAAAAAAAAATATGTTTTAAAAAAGTAGAATATGCATAAATTATTTATAATGATAATGTGTAATATAGATTAATATATGAAGTATAATATATAGTAATATAAATATATATGTAAATTTCCCCCCTTGAATTGTCCTAAGGACAAGTAGAAAGTGAAGAAACTCATTCTAGAAACATCTACCAACTCTTGATAAGAGCAGTGTGAGTCTGAGGCGCTTGAGCCACGACCATGATGAGCTGCACCCCCATCCCCAGTTCATATGACCGAAGTCTGCTTCAGGGTGATGCACAAGAATACAGTCTTCTTTCGTCCCCAATTCCCAGGCTAGGGCTATGGTATCTGCCTGGGAAGGGTACATCCCAACATCCCTTGTTTCCTGCAGAGAAGAGGCTGTGTTCAAGAAAGGGCTGGGGTGTGGGGCTCCCTTCCCTCACCGAGCCCCTGGGTATAGGGCAGAGAATCATGGCAGGCATGGTGCTCTTAGAATACTGGATGCTGATGCTGCTCACCCTCACCTGTTCATGGGATGGAGTTCCCACAGTGAAGGGGCAAACCCAGAAGACCAGCGACGACGACTGGTTTTGACAAGTGACTTGTTCGCTTTACCTGGCCTTCAAGGGAAGTTATCCACAGGTTCTGAGCCAAGCTCTGAAGCCTGATGCATCCCAGAGAGGCCAATCTAAAATCAGAGAATCTCTAACTTGGAGGACGGCCTTTGGTGGAGTCAAGCAGATGGATGAGCCTACCCCTCAAGTGGAGGTGGAAGTGGTGAGCAGGTAAGAGGAAGCTGGTGGCTCACTGAGAACAAGAAACAGAACCTCAGACCGTCAAGAGGGTTCATAGAGAGAAGCAGGCAAGCAGGCACGTGGGAGGATGCCTCCAGAGGTCAGGGGTGGCCCCAAACATGGACCTGATCCAGAACTTCTACCAAGAGGCCAGAATTTAACTGGACCAGCCTGGGGGGCAGCTTATGTCCCAAGAAAGGCTTTAAAGTGTTCCTCAGCAAGAGAACCCTGATGGCAATTTAAATCCTGCCTCCCCCTCCCAAAAAAAAGCATCGTAGATCACCAATAAAGGTAATTAACATTTTTATGAAAAGCAATATAATTGCATGCTTCTCTTCTTTTACATTAAAAGTAGTTGTACAGAACAGCATTTATGTATTGTATTTTGGATTTATAGCACATGGAAATACACACCTATGGACAAAGGAAGAAGGTAGATGAGACTAAAGCTACATGGGGGCAAGGAAATGACATCAAGATGATTTGAAACAAAAGGAGGCTGAAGAGGACCACAGAGGAAAACGTGAGCTAAAAACTGACACAAATAGGCTGATATAAAGACTCTCGAAGTGTGAGGGCTCGGGGTCCGAGCAAGGTCACACAGGACCACAGGTTGGGAGTCAAGCACAACAGGCTTTCCTTGGGTGCCACTTTGAGAATGGCAGAGGGAGGGACTCCCTCAGAGCATGGGCTCTTCCGGAGACAAAACGTGGGGCCAGAGCACGGGAGGGATGGGGGCAAGCGGTTTTCCTAGAGAGACAGCCCAGGGCGTACCTCGTCTGTGACCAGCAGGTGCTGGGCTCACTTGGCAATGATTGGAGCTGAACGTCTCCGTCTGCCATGAAAAGGGAACAGCGCAGGGCCAATATACTGAGGTCAAATTTGGCTCAGTTAACAACCATTTAAAGGCATTTTCCCTCTTTTCTCTCCCTAAGCTTAAATGAAATCATACTACAAGAAAGGGTGTTTAGCCAGCAGGAAGCCTGCGTCTTCGAGTGCCTGGGGTCAGTTCCCAGCTCTGGCTCCTAATTCCAGCTTCCTGCTAATGCAGACCCTTGGACTTGGAGGGTCTGCATTAAGTAATTGGGTTCCTGTCATCCACAGAGGTGACTTGGATTGCATTCCCAGTTCCCAGTTTTGGCCTGGCTCAGTCTCAGTCATTGAGGGCATTGGGAGAGTGGACTAGTGGGTAAGAGCGCACTTTGTCTCTTTTCCTTGCTCGCTCTCTATCTTGCTCTCTCCTTCTCTATCTCTCTCTCAAATAAATTTTAATCACAGTACAAAAATTTAGTATGAACTATAATTATGTGCTGTCATATTTGCAATACCTATAGATGTTGTAAACCTACATAAAAAATAGTAACACAATAAAGGGAAGAAGGATATATCTAACATTTTTACATCTTTTTAGAAATGTTAGTATAAATTTGAAATAAATTTTAATGAACTAATATCAATATGAGGAATCCTGGAACAGTAACTAAGAAGATTAAACTATTGTGAAAAAAATCATTAAATGAATTTAATTATTTCCCTATTCATTTAATTCCAATGAAAGCAGTAAAGAAGGGATGGAATTTTTTTAAAAAAAATATTTGATGTTTAGAAAGCAAAAGGTAAGATGGCAGAATAAATCCAGCAATCTCAATAATATCATTAAATGTAAATGGATGGGTTGGTGCCCTGGCTCACTAGGCTAATCCTCCGCCTGCAGCGCCAGCACCCCAGGTTCTAGTCCCGGATGGGACGCCGAATTCTGTCCCGGTTGCTCCTCTTCCAGTCCAGCTCTCTGCTGTGGCCCAGGAGTGTAGTGGAGGATGGTCCAGGTCCTTGGGCCCTGCACCCCATGGGAGACCAGGAGGAAGCACCTGGCTCCTGGCTTCAGATCAGTGCAGCGTGCCGGCTGCAACGGGCCAGCCGCAACGTGCCAGCCGTAGCGGCCACTTGGGGGGTGAACCAACGGAAAAAGGAAGACCTTTCTCTCTGTGTCTCTCTCTCTCTCACTGTCTAGCTCTGCCTGTCAAAAAAATAAAAAATAAAAAAATGGATGAAACAAATAAAAAATAGAAGTTGTAATATCAGACTAGATGAATAAAACAAGATCTGACTAATACTGTGTACTGAAGAAACTTTATTTCAAAGATAGGAATCTGTTGAAGGCAAAACTATATAAACAATATATTATGCAAATAGTAATAAAAAGGCTGAACTGGCTATGTAGATTTCAGACAAAATAGCGACTAAAATAAAAATAACTAGGGGAAAGAGGGATACTTTATAATGTTAAACAGTCAATTCATCAGGAAGACATTAATATAATAAACATTCATCCACATAATAATAAGCCAACTAGAAAAAAGTGAAGCAAAACCTGACACAATTGAAAAGAAAAATAGATCGTTCAGCAATAATAGTTGGAAACTTTAACATCCCATGATGAATAGGAAAAAACACAGGTAAAAGATCAGCAAAGAAATAGGAGTCTTGAATAACAGCACATAGACCAAAAAACACGTATATAAAGGGCATCCCTTTAAGTTTACTGAATAAGGGGAGAGGGAGGGAAAGAGAGAGAGAGAGAGAGAGAGAACAAACAAGACTGACTTGTGCCCACCTCAGGGATGAAACAGAACACATCAGTACCAGCCTTCCAGAGATAAACAGATTTGGACAGGGATGCTATGATCAACAGTCTGCTAAAACGTTAGACTAGACGAAAAGACTAATTCCTCAAAGACATAAACCACCAAAACTGACTCAACAAACAGAGAATTCTGAGTAGACCTATAATAGGAGATTGAATTAAAAGTAAATGACTTTCCCCAAAGAAAGCCCAGGCACATAAGGACTTGCTAGTAAATTCTACCAGATGTTTAAAGTGGAACTAATACCAGTTCTTCATAAACTATTTCAAAGTAAAAAGAGGAAGAACACTTCCCAACTCATTCTGTAAGTCCTATGTTTTCATGGTATCAAAGCAGACAATGACATAAATAAATAAAACTACTTGTAGAATAAGCAGAAAAGTTTTTAATACACCTGACATAAGGAGAAAAAGAAAATAATGTAGGAATTTTGAGCTGAAAGTTCAGCAAACTTGGTTTAATTTTATTAAGAAGATGTTCAAAATGTAGTGTTTATGTACAGAAAAGCCATTCACAAAATTGGACATCTGTTAAGCCTTAAAGGTAATATGAACAATTCACATATATTCAGACTCTAATAGAATGAGTTAGAGTCATATTCTTTCATTCTTCTGGGTATAACTCATACATGGCAAATATATAACTAGGATATAGCCATACTTAGAAGGTAAACAATACACTTCTAAACATCCAATGTGACCACCAGAAGAGAGGGTCTCAGGTGGTGATCCCAGTGTTCAGGCCTCTGCCACCCAGGTGTGAGACCAGATGTTGTTCCTAACCGGTTCCCGGCCTCAACCTGGCCCAGTTCTGGCTATTTGGGGAGTAAGCCAGCAGATGAAATCCTCTGTCCCTCCCTCCCTCCCTACCTCCCTCCTTTCCAAATTAAGAAATATTTTTAAAAAAATCAAAATCTTGGCAAAGTAAAGGGCATTGCTTAATCAAAAATCTGTGGAAAGATCATTCTTAATTGGAAACTTTCCAATTAAGATAGAGAAGACAAGAAATATTCCATCTTTCCTAGTATTAAGCATCATAGTAAGATGTAATATGATATATTATAATATTTTAAAACTTATGGAAAATGGAATTAAAAGATAAAAACAAACAGACTTTATTTATCAACATGAGCTTCATCGTGTTCAAGCCCCTCAGTCTGTTCCTAAAGAACTGAATTCAGGTCCTGAGAATTTAACCGTGTTTTGTGAATCTTGTTTTGGTACATGATAACAGAAAAAAATAGGTGTTCTTTAACAGTTTCTTAAGATCAGGAAACAAAATGATGTCAGAAGGCGCTAACTCAGGATTGTGAAGTGGCTGTGTCACGGCTCATGGTCTCCCACTGACGCTCGTGCAGAATGGCCCCGTCTGGAGAAGGAGGGAGCAGGAGCTTTGCCGTAGTGGAGGACTCTTCTGGAGCTCCCCCAGGCTTTGCTTCTGGAAAAGCTTTGGGGCACTTTCTCAAAGACACGTTCTAATAAGAGACGGTCTCATCCTTTGGACCTCCAGCAACTCAACTAGCAAAGTGCCTCGAGTATCCCAAAGCCTCTTGTCATGACTTCTGCTCTTAACCAGTCTCCTCTGTCTTCGGGCTTTGCCTCCAGGATCATGTTAGTAAAGCCACTTACAAGCTGGTGCCGCGGCTCACTAGGCTAATCCTCTGCCTGCGGCGCTCGCACCCTGGGTTCTAGTCCTGGTCGGGGCGCCGGATTCTGTCCCGGTTGCTCCTCTTCCAGTCCAGCTCTCTGCTGTGGCTGGGAGTGCAGTGGAGGATGGCCCAAGTGCTTGGGCCCTGCACCCGCATGGGAGACCAGGAGAAGCACCTGGCTCCTGGTTTCAGATCAGCATGGTACGCCGGCCACAGCGTGCTGGCCGCAGTGGCCATTGAGGGGTGAACCAACGGCAAAGGAGGACCTTTCTCTCTGTCTCTCTCTCTCACTGTCCACTCTGTCTGTCAAAAAAAAAAGCCACTTAGAATTCTGCAAAGAGTGCTTCATGACTGGACCCCACTGGGTTACAGTTTCCCAGGACAGCTCTGGTCTTGTCTGTGGCTCATCTGACATAGCAGTTTTGGCACCATCGAGCAGAAAGTTTGCTCCACTCTACTTCTCCAACCTGAACTGTGTGGGTGGAGCCCGTTTTCAGTCCTCTTCCATTGAGGCATGGACAGCGTTAAATTTTTCCTGAGAAAGTGAAGTAGGTGGTCAGCTGCTGTTGGTTTCACCTTCAACATCATCTTGCCCCTTCTTGAAATGAGTTATCCACTTGTGAGCAGCTGTTGGCTTTGGAGCAGTGTTCCCGTAACCTTTGTGTAAAGCGTGAGTGAGTCACACATTCTTCCTCCCG